GCTGGATTTGCAGTGGTTGGTGCGATGCTGCTAGGGTCCAGTGTTGTTGTTTTGGATGGGGCAAGAGATGCCCAATTTGTTGAAGGAGCTAGTGTGGGGGTCATACTAGTAGAAGGTTGTCTGGTTGTCTCTGTTGCCATGGAATCTCCAATGACAGGATCAACTTCATCACCACCCATGCCAACGAGAGTAACAACAACTGCAATGGCCACAGCAATGACAGCAGCTATTAACAGAGCCCAGCAAATTGTTTTTGATATTTTGCATGCACAACTGACAAACTCATCATCACTTGTCTGGTTGGTGTTTTGAAGATTGTTACTTTCGTTGACGGCACTGCTCTGATTGTTGCTTGTGCCTCTACCAGTAGATGGAATTGCGGTCCGAGTAAAGGAACTGACTGGAGGTGGTGGTTCTGTAGTCTCGGTGATTTCCTGTACTTCAATGTCAGGTTCGGTAGTTGAGCAAATTTCTTGTGCATCATTGACAGCATCCGTCTTGGGCTGAATCGATACAGGAGACAAAACACGTTCGGTTATTGGAGAGTAGACGACTGAAGAATCCAATCCACCGTTGTTGCTGTTGCCAACTGCAGGATCTTGTCTTGATCGTCTGAGTCCATGTTTGGCAGCCGTTGTGGACGTGACTGCTCTTGTAGCAGCAAATCTTTCGTCTTGTTCTCTTCTGGCAGTGACGAACTTGTCATTTCTGCTGGTCCGTCTCTGTTGTTGTTGTGGAGGATGTTGGGTCACTTCTCGCTTTTCTTCTTCTTCTTCATGATGGTTACTGCTGAACGTATTCCTCCTTCTCCTACTGGGGGCATCTCTTCCTCTCTTGTTTCGATGCACATCCGAGGAATCTGAAAGCAGTACAGCCGAGACAACTGGAGCATCAGCTGCAGTCACTCCAGATAAAAGAATGGGGGTAGCAGAAGCCACTGGAATGACAGCTGTGTCATGACCAATGTTAGAGCCATCGGGATCCATGGTCGTCTGTTGTAGATCACTGTAATGGAAAGACAGAATACCCCAAAGTGCAACGCCATTTTCAGGGGCAATGCAGGAGAGAACACTCTATCAAGTGCCAGTGCTACCGGTAATACCGGTAGCGTAGAGTGCTGCGCTTGCAGTGCATGTCACAAAGGGCTTTACTTTGGCGGGATCTTGTAGGAAGCGAACCCACGCCAAGCCGTGGACGATCATTGAATCAGTCACGAACAGGATCCAAATCGGATCTTTGCTGTTCGTACGTGGGCGAAATGCCGATCGCCAAACAAAAATGAAAGGATGAGGATCCATTGGCCATTTTGCTTGGGTTAAAATCACAGACAGCCAACCATGGTGATATCGCGCTCTGTGATTTGGGGCCTCCTTCTGTTGTTGGGGCACTCTCAAGCTTTTGCCCCTTCCACCATCCGTCCCAGAAAAACAACTAGTACCCAATTGAACTGGTTTCGCGTCAAATCTACTCCCGAACCAGCTGCAGAACTGTCCGATGATCAAGTTGAAGCCATGTACGACGATGCCTATCGGGCACGAGAGGAGCTAGTAGCAAAAGCCGTGGCTTCCGCCGAAACGGTCAATCAAGAGGATGACGCCAAGTTTGGCTTTGGAGCTCGGATCGAATCTTTCAAGTGTGTGGTAGTGGGCGCCTTTTCCGGTGGCATTGCCCTGGCTCCGGTATCGTTGATACGCGATTGTGCCGTAGCGCAAAAATCTCTGGCGCAATGGGAATTCGATACCGATGCGGGAGCACTCGAGGCAGCACTGTTTGCCATTGTCTACCGCTATTGCATCCGAGAAGATACCAATCCTCAACTCAAAGATGGCGTAGTTGGTGCCTTTGTATTGACAAGGACATTGACACGGATCGAGCTTCCTTCGTATTGCTCGGCAGTACCCGTCGATTGTGGACCTCCTTTGGGATACCTGGATTGGAACGTTCTTGGTCAGCTGCTCGTCAATGGGATTGAAAGTGGAATCTTGTTTGCAGCGGCGGCATCTGGCATGGAATACTGCTTTCGAAAAAACTACATTTCCAAGTTTCCAGGATGATGGATTAAATATCGGATAAACAACAACAATTACCTCTCCAATCAATCAATCAAATGGATGAACGGATCCAAGATGCTTTCAGAGCTTGGAATCCAGTCTTCCAAGGCGAAGAAATAAGCGATCGTTGACATGCAACTGTGCAATAGCTAACTAGCTAGGTGGGCCACATAAGTACCAAAAAGATACGCCAAACTCAAACCAAACAAAGTATGTAAGGTACAGGTGGACATCAACACTATACTAGTAAGGAGAGCTAGCCTGTGATTTTTTGGTTTTAACGATGTAGTAGCCCTGGAAGCAGTGATGGAAGCTTGGGCTTTCCAGGCGCGCGATGCTTTACTTTACTTTGCGATACTTTACTTTGCCGCTGGTATTGTCTTAGTCCGTAGATACATGCCTACATTGTTCTCTGTTTGGATGGGCTGGAATATTGATCACTGGAGTGAACTGCTGCTTGTGGACCATCACACCAATGGTATTGGCAGGAAGTTCCTGGACATCCATCACCATGGTCGTAAAAGAGGGCGACAAGAAAAATAAAATTAGTGAGTGGCTGATTGATATATAAAATTAAGTATGGGAGTACATGCTATCTAGTAATGGGGTAAGAACTAAGTAACACCAGCTTGAATGTAGTGGGGGCAGGGGTCAAGGGGTGAATTGTGTTGTTGGGGGTGGAATAGGCCAGCAAGGGGAGCTGCAGGGGTAGACCCAGATGAATAAAGGGTAGATGAAGCAGTGCCAAGTGACCGAAGGAGATGGTGGCCAAGATGAGTGGATAGATTCAGTGCAAGTGAGTGGTGGGATGGAGAGAGTGGTGTGATTGTAGTGTCAAGATTGGGTGGTGGAGTGTACTGTTTGTCAGCAAGAGAGAGAAGGCCAACAGGTTTGATTTGACACATTGATTAGTAGGGATATGTTCTACTGCGCCGGAGGCATGCTTTTACTTCACTAAGAAAGACAGTTGGCACTTCTGGCTGCCTGTTCTACTAGTAGAAGGGCTAAGGGCACGCTAAGGCCCTATTCTAAGAGCTTTGGTGCCATAGAGGTAGGTGGGCAAGGTTGCCAAGACCAAGGTAGGGGTCGACGGTGAATGGGGGAGAATGATGCCGGATTGGGGGAGGTCATGAAAGTAGATGTGTGGGGTGACATTGGACTTGTTGGTGAGCCTGTGCCTGGCAGCCTGGATGTGGATCTTGGGAAGGATGGTTGAGGGAGTAGATCTTGGTCCAGGGGGTGCAGGAAGATGTTCGCTGACACTTTGATGCAGGTGGGATTCCTCAAATTCATTTTTCACCTGCTGACAGAGGTGGTTGCTGAAAATCATAGATCGGGGGAGTATCCTGGGAGGGCACTTGTCCTTGTCTTGATGCCCCTTCACCCATCGGAACTTAACCTGGATGAGTTGTTCAGAAGTTTTTTTAGAAGAGGTTGTTTTAAATCTGCTCTGCCTTCTACACAGTCGTGGTCCCTGCAAACGCAGGTGGGTTCAAACGTTGACTTGAGAGCTTTTGGGGCTGCTTGTCCATCATACCGGATGAAGATTTTCCCTCTAGGAATGTCGAATTGTTCGGCCAATGTTTGTACCATCATCATGGCAGCGACTTGCCCAGCAAGTTCACTTTGTTGTGACGATTGGTCTGCTGGGGAACGTGGAACGCAGAGTTGTCCATCGATTCTTCCTGCTGCGTTGTCTCCTTCCAGAACCAACGCCACTGTTCCATAGTTGTTTTTGTAGAAGCCATCGCTCACTGCAATGGCGGTACCGTTTAGGACGGCCATTGCTACCTCCATTCCGTCTCGGCCTGCTGCATTGATTGATGCCATCAAAACCTCAAACCAAACCGACAACCTCGAATAAGGCAACAGCCATACGAGTATGAACGATGTTGGTGGATACATAACTACCTAGCTAAGTTCAGTTAGTATGAATACATATTGTTTTCATGCCGATAACGCTGTTGGTTACTATAGTCTCTTTCTATCTAGCTAGCTAGTAGACAGCCAACAAATAAATCTGCTGGATGCACCAAGTAGAGCCAACTTTAGCGAGCATTGTACTAGTGTTGTCGAATAGTAAGAGTAGGTACAGTAGAAGGATCGGTAGATTGTTTAATAATCACCGCCGCCCTCGTCACCTCCTCCGAACATGTCCATACCACCACCCATATCAGCTTCTTCCTCTTCGACTTCTTCCTTTTCTTCTTCTGCGGCTTCACCACCGCCACCTCCGCCGCCGCCGCCTCCTCCGCCGCCGCCGCCACCTCCACCAAACTGTGCCAACTGTTCCTTTCCAGCTTCCAACAATTCCCCTAGATCCTTTCCTTCCAATTCACCCAAGAGTTTGTCGAGCAGGTCGCCATCGGCGGTGACTCCCACCGATGACAAGGCGGCGGTGATTTCATCCTTGGAGGGACTGTCTTTTCCTCCCAATTTCAAGAGCAAGTATCCGGCTAGTTCCTTCATGATTGCTTGTTTGTTGTTTACTTCGTGTAGTAGTGTAGATTGACAATTCTTGCAAGCACGTTTAAGCCTCGACAGCAGCTAACAAGTCGTTGTGGGAAACCAAAGGGTCGTCCAAACCACAGCGCGAGAACGAGGGGAGGCCCAACAACGGCAACACGAAGCCCTTCATTTATTTTTTAGTAAGCGAAATGGAGGTAAGGGTTTAGGGACTCAGGTGAGTCACGGTCTAGAACCACCAACGATTTTCCGCCGTTTCCGCCAACAACCACAACACCGCCAACATCATTGCTGCCTCGTTCTTGAAGTGCTGTACATGTACCGTACCGTATACCCACTGCTATTTTATCAACTTGGTTGGATAATAATATCGTATATATAACCATGGGAAAGCGAAAGTCCAAGACATCCAAGCAAAAACAAGCCAAGGCGGCTGCCAAGTCGCTCAAGAGTCGCATCATCAAGGAACCACACCAGTCCACGGTCAGTGTTCCGGTAGTGACAAAGAAGAAGAAAAAGGCAGATGCCACGTATTGTGAAACTGCCGAATTCAAGCGACAACAAGCCAGTATGCAAGAACGACACTTGGCCGAAGAGCAACACAAGAAGAAAATGAAGACGAAAAAGAAAAATGGCAAGAAAAAAATATTTGGCGGATTTCAATTCCAAGCGCCCACGCTGATTGTGGACGATGCCAAAAAGACCACCACACAGCTCATGACGGAAATCACCGCGCGTGCACAAGGATGGGATGGAATTAGTCCACAACAACAACAGCAGCAACAACAACGACAACACACTGCCATTAGTCTCCAGCAAGTCTTTTCCAAATCCACGCTCCAACAAGAACGCGAAGCAAAACAACGGAAAAAGCGGAATGCCTCCAATCGATTTTCGGTATTGCACATGGACGACGATGATGACGACGATGATGATACAACCAACCAAAAGACGAAAACGGACAAACCGTCGTTTCAATTTGCCCCTGCCACCTTTCAATTTACGCCTGCTAGTTTCTCCGTGGGGACAACAGCACCAACAACAGTCATGGACGATTTTGTGGATCCAGATCTGTAGTATATCAAGGAGACATCTATGTATTGCAACCAACTATTGCCAGTAGTGTAGCCAGAGCTTGATGTGAAGGAATCTCAGGGCTGCCCTGGTCTACAACTACCCGTCAAAGTCGCTAGATTTCCTCTTGCGTGGTTTTGTGTACTAACTAAAAGCGATTACAAAGACTTTATAATCACCCGCCTGTTGAACATCTAGCTAGTACGACTGTAGCAGGTTGGTGCTTCAGATACTCCGACCCTGCAGACATCCGAAGAATTGGTTCGAAATGCCAGTCGTGGCCTTCCCCTCCCTCGGCTTTCGTCCTTTGCTTTTCCAACGTGCTACAGCTATATCTACCTGGAACATGGACGAGAAGGCATCAACGGATACCTTTTTGATATCTCTGAGTAATGGCTATTTGGTTCATCAACAAGACTCGTAGCTACTACAGCCTACTCGTGTTACTGTTCTTTTCAGCCCACTAGCCTTCAACTCTAGCTCTGACTGAGCTATCTGTACGTAGTGTAGTAATTCCAAAACCTGTGTTTGTTTAGCATGGCACTATTTTCATTCGCTTGCTCTTGTGTTGTCTGACTACCAGTGCAATAATTCATGTATGTCATCATGATTCTTCGTCTTTCCGTTGACAAATGACCCCCATGGAGAGTCCCACCTGGGAGCTGACTTTGTATTTGTGTCGCAGCGAATCTCGAAACATGAGTTGCATATCTCGTACCACTTTCATATCGGACATGCGTCCATCGAGAATGATTTGAAAATACTCGAGACACGTATTGGTATCCAGCGCATGAATGAATGCCTCGCCTAGTTTTTGTCCGCTCGTCATCTTGTCCAATTGCAGGACAAACTTGTGCAATCCGTGATTGGCCGTGAGCATTTGTGCCATGGCCATGCCGCCATTGATATCGAGTTCGGTGCCTTGAATGAAGAGTTCTTGCAGCGTCGAATTGGAACACAGCAGTCGCGCCACATTGGAGAGAATTTCGAATTTGACCGTGACGTGAATGAGTCGTAGTTTTTGCAGACTTTTGGATGTACAGAGTGATTTCAAGGCGTTGGTCAATCCGGCCTTGTCGTTTGCCGGTTCGGTGGTTTGGATTTCCATTTCGCGGAGCGTCGGAATTTGTCCGGCAGCGGCAATGGCGCGTTCGTAGGGGTCCATGGATTCGACGTGCAATTGCCACACGCGCAACGACGGATGATCCAAGAGCGTATCGGCCAACATGGCGAAATCGTCCTTGTCTCCTTTCCATTTGACATGAACCGACTTGAATTCTCGCAACCCCGTGGCTTCATTGAGACAGTGCGACAGATAGGCGACGGGAAGAGACTGTGTCGCCGATCCTTTGCTCATAACGGTCAAGGATCGAACCGACTTGCTTTGACCCAACGAATCAAACAGAGCAAAGACGTGTTCGTCGTCGGCATCTTTTAACCAATTCTTGTAAATGTCCAATTCCACCGACCCAATCTTCTTGTTCGTTCGAAACTCCTTCACTGAGGCCAAAACATTGCAGCGAGGCTTCAGGGCAATCTTGACTTCTTCCAAGTCAGCAATATCCTCCTCGTCCTCCTCTTCGTCCATGGCGGGGTCCATGGGTTCGTCCGAATCGTCCGCCATGATCTAAATTCTGTCTACTTGCTAGCTAGCCAATCTATCTCGAGTTCCCAACAATTATGGCGAAAAGGATATGCAATCGGAAAGTGTGGCAACCACGATGCAAAGCAAGAGACAACCCAAGAGACATGTTGGATCCTGCCAGAAGTCTTGGGAGGGGAAGAAGCGTTGGGACTGCGAGAGTGGGCTGGAGTAATAGTTCCAAAAGCCAGGGTAGGCATCTCTACTTTGGTTATAAGATATGTCGATCTCTAGCTAGCGTAATGAGCTTGCAGTTATCCCTTCCACGAGACTTCTAAATTGCTGGCAACACATCGACCGCGCTGGTACCGCTATTGTAGAGCTTACAAGCTTGTCCAATGCAGCTGAAGTCTGAATCTGCGATGCTGAGGCCTAGGTGCCCTGCATGCCGTTCCTGGGTGCCCAAAGTGATGCACCTACGTTTTTGTCCAAGTACATGTATGGATACTTTCTTCTGGCTATCCAGGGGAAACGTCAGTGGAGCTAAATATAGCCTAGCTAGCTAGGTGGTCGAATGTGCCGTACTTGTACCTCAGAGGATACCGATAGACTTCGACCCAAAGTGAAGTGGTGGTGTGGCTTGAAGCCAAAGGTGAGTACCGGCCGTTCGTCAGGGCTAACTCAACTGACCTGCCTTCCTAAACCTGAATGTGACCTACTATTACAGTAGACTAGTCTAACGGTATGGAACTGTGTAAATTATTAAAAGTTTCAACGAAAACCGCTTTCATCTTTGGATCAATAATTGGAGATCAAGGCTAGAAGGGTCACAAACCCAAAAATGGTGCCCCCAAGCAAGAGGTTTGTAAGGTGCGAAGGCTGAGCACTCTTCGTGTGTTTCCCGGATTTGACGTCATCAATGGAGGTAGGATTCTCATTGAAACCCGAGAGGGACTCGCCCCAACTCGTCATCGGCAAGCACAGCAGCGCAACAGCAGCAAAATCCGCTGGTCAAATCTTCCATCGGCTTTTTGGATTGATTGCTTGTTGTTGTTGACGATGGTGCGAGTTTGGTACACCCCCCCTCCTTTCGGTCCTGGTACGGACCTTCACACAACCGCCTATGGGTGCAAGGAAGGCGTCAGCCCGAACTGGGTTGTTCGTCTGAGCAAGATGCCCAAGCCGATTGGGATTGGTGTGCCCGTCCTTATCTCGTGCCTGATCTGCTACATTCCCTTCGGTAGGTGGAGATTGCTGTAGTAGGAGAGGCCGTTGCGAGGGATAACAATTGTCGCTTACATATATGTTTTTGTTTCATCTACTCTTGCTACTGCGTCGAATGCCACAGCCAACCAGAAGCTTCCCTTTACTTTTGATCCTGAGTACTTGGCGGCTCGTAGGGCCTACATGAGGTACCACAACATGAATCCAATCTTTGGAATCTCGAGCAAGTAAGTGAAACAAAAAAGGAAGAAAATTGAGCGCCTTTTCAAGTAGCTTAGAGTGGAATTTCTCACGCGTCCTTTTGCGCTATTATAGGCAATCTCGTGCCACGGATCCCGAGTAAATTTGGTTGTTTGGTCTCTTCAAGACACCTCCATGGGTCGCATCCGCTCCTATCGTTTTATCTTTGGACACGAGCAAAATTCAAAAATATTGAGGGCCTCTAGTTCACCTGTCAAGTAGTGGTCCACTTGGAATAGTTTGGGTCTCGATTCGATATCTGGTGGCTTAAAACTAGTCCAAATTCTTGTTATTTCTTAGTCTCCCGCTTCCCTACCCGTATCGGCTTTTATTTTGTGTAGCTATTGTATTGTAGAACGTGATGCAGGATGAGATCAGACAGCGCTCCGCTCGTAATGAATGCAAAAAAAAAGCGGGTGAACCTCTGCCTCTGTTCTGCAAATCGGTTTTTGTTTTCCTCGTGCTGCTCTGGCCGCTCGATGGAGCTTCGTTTACCAGTGTCTGAACCCACCCAGACAGATGCAGCAATACCAATAGCCATCTAGCTTCTAGGTACGGTAGACAATGCCCCCGGATTGTCCTTTGGTATATAGATTTGAAAGCATGAAGAAACGCGGAGCTTGCGACTCTTGGTTCTCGTGCGGTACCGGTAGCTACCCCCCTTGGTCATCAGTTTGCCAAGAGCAAAACATTGGTGACTGGCTGGTGAGGCCATCAACTCTCGAATAAAGGAACCTCTGAGCCTTGATTCTGGGGCGCGGGATGGCACCCTGGAACGCAGTACTACGAACCATCGTTTGTTTAGATTGGGGGCTTGCTTGTCCGGCCGCAAGCTCTTTGTCCGCCGGATTAGATGTCACATTTGAGTAACACACACGTTCTCGTGATGCAGCCGCCTGTAATAGATGAGAGCGGGCGATTGAGGACACTGAAGAAGCAATGCGCGAGAAATATGGAAACGCTCGCCAGCAACCAGCTCGTGTCCTTGTCGTTTGAAAACACTGAACCAGAAATTCTTCTCCACGAAAGAAGCTACTAAATGAACCAGGGTCCATGGTATAGATTGTCTAACTAAAGAAGGGTTCAGACTATTGAAAGGCATCTACGCTCTCTTGCAATGTTTTCCTGCAGCTTGGGGTCGTGGGCGCAAGCTTTGGGCTCGACTTTCACTCCCACTCTGCTTTAATTTCTAAAGACAGCGAAGCTGCCAGTAGCTGCGGTGAAAGCGTCGCATTGAGGAAGCAACTCTGACTACACAAGCCATTGGTCCCAAGGAACCAGAGTTGAGCCAGAGTCCTACAATCTACGATGTACGTTATATTATGCGCAATAACGCTGCACCTCCTCTGCAACAAAGAACGCTGCACCTCTAGCTAGTACCGGTAGGGTGCACACCTCTGCGGCAACTTGTTCTGCACCTCCAGGGGATGCACCTCGGTGGCAACTAATTCTGCGCCTCCAGGGCAAGCACCTCGGTGGCACGTAATGCTGCACCTCCAGGGTGTGCACCTCCGCGGCAACTTGTTCTGCACCTCCAGGGGATGCACCTCGGTGGCAACTAATTCTGCACCCCTAGGGCAAGCACCTCGGCGGGTCACTCTGTCTCTGGCTTTGGATGATGCCACCGCACCAAGCCAGCAATGAAGCTTCGCTCGTCAGGGAGAGCACTCAGGACACTCTGCTGCAATTCCCTTCAGTAGCTAATAACCAACTAAGCAGGCACAGCCGAGAAAGTCTCCAGAGTCGTACTTTAAAGTAATGTGGGGAGACTACACTTCCTTCTGGCACAATGCACCAAATGAATTTCCTGCACAACAGAGTCCTACAATCAGCCACGTGTAACTAGCAATCCCTAGTGGTACGGTTGATTGTTGTGTGCCGCAAGCCAATAGAAACCACCGGGTACAACCGCAACCTCCCAACTCCTCTTCTGATTTGCTTCCCGCACTCCAGCCCCCACTACTCCGAAACTAGCTAGTAGCAGGTAGATACATCCTCACCTGAACAAATGTACTGGAGGCTGGCTCGAAAGATTGACAACGACCCCTTCGAAAGGTATGGTTTTGCCTCGATCTGAAATGTTAGGTTGATCATGGTCCAGTAGCCCACCATGGGCCAAAAGATTACAACCACATACACGCACACATAGAGCAACTGAACGATGCCACCATTACCGTGGTCCTGGCGTCCTGGCACGGAGCTCACAAGCCGGCTGCAGACAGATATCGGCAGAAGCATAGACGCAGGCTCGCTGAGGGCACAAATCAACCACACATTCGACAGGCTAACAATGCTGCTAAAATCTGCCATTGTCGAGTAATTGTTGTCCATCGGCCTACGCCACGCCAAAACAGCAACCTCATGCATAGACCAACAAACAAACAAACAAACAAACAAACAAACAAACAACATCTGTACTAACCCCACCACACTCCATGATTCCCCATCTACCGTTGTCACTCTGGATAAATCCATGTTTGATTTGTGGCATAGTGGCCAACAGCAGTCTGAATATAGCATCTACAACCCCCCAGGCTTACACCATACTGTACTTACCGTGCTTCCACGCCAAAACAATAACCTCATGCATACACCAAACAAACCTCTACGTACTAACCCCACCACTCCGCGAGTCCCCATCTACCGTTCTGACTCTGGATGAATCCATGCTTGATTGTGGCATACCGGTAATGGCCAACAGCAGTCTAATAGCATCTACAACCCCGAGCTTACGCCACACTGTACTTACCGTGCTTCCGCAACCAAATTGAAAACAGAGAGTGCCCTAGTCAAAACTGAGCGGAGGCTTCAAACTAGCCCTACCGGGTACAAAGAAATGAGAAAACAAGCACCAGCTGCACCAGACATTGCTCTCAGTTGATTGTGGAGTCCGCCAATAATTGCAACCATTAAAAAGGCATACGGGTTGCTTTCAATTCTGAGACCACTATTAACGAATGCTCAAAACGCCAGCTCCAAGCTCTACAAATAAATGTGGATTGTTCTGGAAACGGTTGTGGATTGATAAGGATTCTGTTGCAGCGTTGTCCAGTGCGATTGTGGATTGATGAGTCAAACCGTACAGAGATGACCGCATATTGTTGCATTATCCAAAGTGAAAGCCACCGGCGCCCCCCAAGTTCCTCAACAGATACCGCACTTCTGCGGCTGTGGCCTTGCAGCAGCCTCCTCCAGAAAAGCGAGCTGACAAAAGTGAACAAACAAACAAATTAAATTGGTTTGGGGAGCAGCAAAATGAGCTCAAGGCAAGCAGCAGAAATAGGCAGCAGCATCTTGCATCTATGCAGCTCCATTCAGCTGAACTCCAACTTGAACAAACCTCACTTGCCAACTTATGAGCCAAGAGCTGCAACAAGATTACCCTGAGCTTCAACCAAATCACCGGTAACTGGCCACCATACTCACGCTACAACTTCAAACAGGAGGGGGCAATTCGACTTGCTTGAGCTTCAACCACAATCCCTTGACCACTGAATGCAGCATCTACCCACTAATTCACGATTATTCACATGCATCGAGCTTGGCAACACCCATTCAAAGCCATCTGTTTTGTTGTTGTTGCTTGTTGTGTTTCTAAACCTTCCGGTTTCCTCATTTTGCTGACGTGGTGCGCTGACAACAGGATGTTAAATAAAGTTTCATAACTTCAAGGGTAAGTTGCGGAATCTGCCACTTAAATCGATTCAGGCCAATTTTCACTGAAATTCTACTTCAACAAGGCTTCAAGCTACCGCTTGCGTCACCAGTTTGGTTTCGAGACTGCGTAGAAATCTACGTCTCTGTAACAACTCCAGGCTTATTGCAGACTGTTAAATGATTCCTTTCTTCAATGAG